TTAAAAAACAATATTTTTGTTGGTTTGGCATTCTGTATCTGCACTTCTTTCAGAAATATAATCTACACAGCACAAGGGAGCCATTAATTGTATGCTAACTGAATTTCCAAATGTGCTGTGGAGTAGCTGCTGGGTATTGTACATTACTATGTTTTTCTGAGTATCATTAAGATTGTTTTCAGAGCACATCTAATGCATAAGAATATGAACAAAGATGTTTTCAAAATAGATTGACAGTTCCACACAAGCACCATCACTGATGTTAGTGATCCCTATAAATTGTCAAGCTAATTTTTTTTTCTCTCTTTTTTTTTTTTTTTTCATTTTGGATAGTGTGAGGAAGATTTACAATCCGTCTGTTTTTAATCCTGTCCAGCACTCTGTTAGAGAGATTTCCCTTCACTTCCTGTCTGGTTGACAACTGTTCATTAGACAGGAAGTGAGGGAATATCTGCAACAGATGGGTGGAGGGAAGGAAGGGTGTGTGAAAGGGAGGAAGGAAGGGGTGGGTGGAAGGTTGGAAGCCAGGAAGGGAGAGAGGAAGGGGTGGGTGGGTGGATGGGAGGATGGAAGGGGTGGAAGGAAGGGGTGGAAAGAAGGGGAGGAAGGAAGGAAGGAAGGAAGGAAGGAAGGGGAGGAAGGAAGAAGGAAGGAAGGAAGGAAGGAAGGAAGGAAGGAAGGAAGGAAGGAAGGAAGGAAGGAAGGAAGGAAGGGGTGGATGGAAGGGAGGGGTGGGTGAAAGGAAGGAAGGAAGGAAGGGAGAGGTGGGTTGAATGAAGGAAGGAAGGAGGGAAGGAAGGAAGGAAGGAAGGAAGGAGGGAAGGGGTGGGTGGAAGGAAGGAAGGAAGGAAGGGAGGGGTCAAAAAGGAAGGAAGGAAGGGGTGGATGGAAGGGGGAGGGGTGGGAAAAAGGAAGGAAGGAAGGGAGAGGTGGGTTGAATGAAGGAAGGAAGGAGGGAAGGAAGGAAGGAGGGAAGGGGTGGGTGGAAGGAAGGAAGGGAGGGGTCAAAGGAAGGAAGGGTGGGTGGAAGGAAGGAAGGAGTGGATGGAAGGGAGGGATGGGTGAAAGGAAGGAAGGAAGGAAGGAAGGAAGGAAGGAAGGAAGGAAGGAAGGAAGGAAGGAAGGAAGGAAGGGAGAGGTGGGTTGAATGAGGGAAGAAAGGAAGGAAGGAAGGAAGGAAGGGGTGGGTGGAAGGAAGGAAGGGAGGGTGAAAGGAATGTGAGGGTGGAAGGAAGGAAGGGGGGAGGTGGAAGGAAGGGAGGGGGTGGAAGGATGGAAGGAAGAGGGGGTGGAAGGAAGGGGGGGGGAGGTGGAAGGAAGGGAGGTGGGGTGGAAGGATGGAAGGGACAGGGGGTGGGATGGAAGGGAGGGGGAGGTGGAAGGATGAAAGGGAGGGTAGGGGTGGAAGGATGGAAGGAAGGGAGGTGGAAGGATGGAAGGGAGATGGGTGGGATGGAAGGAAGGGAGGGGCAGTGGAAGGATGGAAGGGGGGGGGTGGGATGGAAGGAAGTAGGGGGTGGAAGGAAGGGAGGGGGGGAGGTGGAAGGATGGAATGGAAGGGGGGGGGGGGTGGAATGGAAGGAAGGGGCGTGGTAGGATGGAAGGTTAGGTCAAACTCACCATGACTCCTTTAGAAGCATCAAAGCTGTGACTGTCAGCTGCTGTGTTCAGTTTCTTTTTCCCACACCTCCTCTGAAGCTGCATGGACTGGAGTGTTTGGGGGGCATGGGGGCAGACAGACAGAGCATATCCAGCCTTTCTCCCCTCTTCTCCTATTGGTGTGGAAGATAGAGGGAGGGGCTGGGCAGTGAGAAGAACACAGCGGCAGGAACACAGCAGTGGGAACACGGCAACGGCGGCGGGGGGGGAGGCAGAACGAAAACTGAACTGTTCTGTGAAGCGGTGGAGGTGGTGAGCAGTGCCAGGACTAGGGGTGTGTGGGAGGGGTGGCGGTGGTTGCGGCGATCTTCAAGCAGCAATCTCCTGTATGGCTTTCAATGAAGCAGCTGGAAGCCGAATCTCCTCCTCTCCCTCCTGCGGCTTTCAGCTGCTTCATTGAAAGCCATACAGAAGATCACCACAGCCACCACCACCCCTCCCACACAACCCTAGTCCCGGCGCTGTTCGCCGGCTCCACCTTATTTCCACTCACGGGTGAGTGGAAATTTCGAAGGCTGCAGTCTGCAGGGATGGTTGGCAACTCTCTTCTGGGGGGTTCAGACCCCCCCCAATCTACGCCCCTGAGGAGAGCAGAAAGAGGAATCCTCAAAATATTACTGGGTGTGTTTTTTTTTTCTTAAAGTGTTACTAAACCCACGACAGTAAAATCAGTCTGTATATGCAGTAAAGCATGCTTGTTATACTCACTGTGGAACCTAAGGCGTTAATCCTTCGCATTTTGTAAAAAGGCTATTTGATCCTTTCTTCTCGGTTCCTCCCCTTTTTCAAGCAACCACCTCTTATCTCCAGACTGAACCGTAGGCATGCACATTCTCAGTTTGGTGTGTACTGCTAGAGTTTTTTTTTTCTTGGGAGAGTGCACGTGATTAGCACAGGGCCAATCAGCACTGTCCAGACAGAGGTCAGGGGATTTGCATCCTCCTGGAGCAGAAAGAAAACTCCTCCTACAAGCTTTAGCTAGTGCAAGGCTGAACACAGATAGAAGTCACATGACTGCTCTAACTTCTGATGAGAAAAGGTATTTAGCAGTTTATATTTACTAAAATAATTGCACTTCCATGTTCTATGTACTGTGGGAGACCAGATATAGTGGATACAGGGTCCTGGGTTTAGTAACACTTTAAATATGTAATGAATATAGCAGACAAAAGTCTACTTCTGCATACTAAGTGGGTGCTGTGTCAGAGGGAGGAAAGCTGAGCTGAGTATTGGTAGGGATGATTGTATAATGAATACAGGGTTACTCCCAAGGGGCAGTTACTAATTCTGCTGGCTGAAATCTGCAGCTGGTACTGGAGACTGAAGCTGCAGCTTCTGTTAAATATTCAGTGTTGGGCACATGCTCCCATCAACAATCTCAAAACACCAAACAGCTTTATAGTGAATGAGTAAACCTGCTTGGGTGCCATTTTCAAAAACTTTCATGCATGTTGCTCAAAGTCTGAGAACTTTATGACAAACTCCACTGCAGTCTATGTGAGGTGAATCCAGCAATTCAATTCTGAGCGTTTGTAGGACAGCCAAGTTATAGTCCAACAAAACCATGGGAAGCCAGGCATTACCATGGAGGACATGTATCAAAGCCAAAAAAAACCACAACAATATCTTTCTAACACAGCATTGTCAGCTGCAATATACAATGACAATGTGGCTACTATAACCCACATTTTTATAGAAAAGGGGGTTGGTTATCCATTCCTTCAAATTATTGGCTCTTTGACTGAGCTGACCAGGTTTTATAGATTGTTCCTTATTTTGGTAGTTAACCTGGAAAATGTTAATCCAAACATCCTGACAAAATCACCACATTACTACTGTAGATTGGTACATACCGGGTATTCTAGTGAGCTCAAGACTGAACTGGAATACAAGGTGACCACATCAAATAGGACGGTGCACAACTAAAAGTGCTATGGAAAGCTAATGGATCCTGTTCAGTACTATAAGTCACGAAATCATAATTTACTTTACTGAAGCAAGATCAGTACAAGAGAATTTATGGTTATTTGCTGTGATTACAGTTTTTTCCAAGCACTGTTTTACTGAATAAGTCATTAACCTTAAATGTTTTTGACTCAAGTCAATGTTAAGTGTAGCTAGGAAAATACACATTTGAATTCATTAAAAAGAAGTAGCTTTATTTTATTGACAACACGATATAAAATATGAAGAAGACTATAGATAAGATAATAGGCTGAGGTTTAACGGTCAACCAGGAGGTACTGTTATGAGGAAATGTATTGCTGACTTAATGTGTTGCCACAAAGTACATTATGTACAGCTTATTAACTAACCATAAAAGTTTGAAGCTCTTCTAAAACATTTTCAGCTGAGATACTTTCCTGATGGGATGTCACTCTTCTACAACCATTGGCTCACATTATTTTTCTAGGTTCTACTATATCCACAGATGTATTGGTAGACTGCTTGCAGATTGGCCAACAACAGTATAAAGGGTGCCATACGTGTATACAATTCCGTACATTTGATGAACAGCTTTACTTGATGCAACTATCATACAGATTGTAAAAAACAATGCAGAAAGTTGAACGTTTGGATGAACAATTCTTAATGTTTGTTCTCATTGATGAATGTACATGTGTGTGTCAACTATGAAAATAATCGGTCAGCGTAAATTATTTAGTGGTGAGTACTGGATTTAAAATGCAGTTACACTTTTTACTTCAGTGTTCCACAAGCACACTGTTCTACTGATGCTGCATAGACTTGTGCTTACCAAAACAACATAAGAAGACTTTTATAAAGGTATCTGGTACTGAGAGAAATATGGACCAGTGCTTACTTACTAAAAATGCTAGTTACTTGCCTGTCTTTAACAGCAACAGCAACAAAAAAAACTACTGACAGGCAAGGATATTTATCAGAAAATAGGTGCAGGTACTGCCCCTCCTCCAGAGGACGGTCATTCCCGATGGTGGGTGTGGCCAAATTGCTATGGGAGGGTTTTACAGGGGCATGGTTAAATGGAACCTGAGTGTACTCAATGTATACATGGAACCACTAGGCCTTATCTCTAATTTATCACCCCCGTGGACTCCCCATGAGAGGCCTTCTGAGCAGATATTGAGTCCGCTACCAGTGACTGCCTTTATTGCATTTGTCTCTCTGTGTTTCAATTTTCAATTGGATTTGCTTCTGATTTTCTGTGACATCTATTACATCGGACATGCTGAAGCTGTTGCAATATTAAAGCGGAGCTCCAGTTAAACAAAAAAAATAAATAAAAGTCAGAAGATACAAAAACTGTAGCTGCTGAATTTTAAAAAACAGCCACTTACCTGGCTGTCCCACAATCTAGCGGTGTACTCACCGCAGCTGCTTTCTCCTGCCATCCTTGCTCCCCAGTGCCCGCATCTTAAGTGGGGGCACCAGGCTGTGACAGCTTGCAGCTTCACAGACAGATGCCCACTGTGCATGCATGAGTAGCGCTGCGCATTGTGAATGGTCCTGTAGTCTTCTGGGACCTGTCACATGTCCCAAAAGACTACGGGGGGGGGGGGGAGGACAACTTCTGCTTCCTAGGCAATCTCAGCGGAAGTGGGAGCAGGTACCTGTCAAAACTAGCTACCCACATCCACCCCCCCAACTCCCCAGAGGTGCCAATTCCTCACAGAAAGCGGGGGACTAGTACTTAAAGCGGAACTTCTCCTTTTGAGTGTTGCTCCACTGTAAGCTTTGTAGTTTTATACATGCCACATTTTTCAATAAAAATGTATTCTATTTAAAAAAAAGGATGCACGGAACACATATGCCACAGTCATTTTACCCACTCAATATACTTTAATTACTGTGCCACAAGCAGGAGTCTAACAGACAAATCATTTAAAAAAGACACAATTATTTATAAAGGCAAAACACATTACTTTTGATCTTCAACCTAGCTCAGGGGCGGACTGACAACTCATGGGGCCCCTGGGCAATAGGGGACCATGGGGCCCCTGTGTCCTTGCCCACACTCAAACCACACCCAAAAAAGTCTATGAAAAAGGTACAAGAGGCATCACATGGGGCCCCCTCCTGACCCCGGGCCCTCGGGCAGTGCCCAACTTCCCAAATGGTCAGTCTGCCCCTGACCTAGCTTAAATAAGAATTTCAGAAAATAGTCAATGACTATTTAGCAACCAGCTACTGTTGAAACAATAAACACTTTGGTCAGCACTATGTAATATAAAATATAGCATCAAGAGTGCAGTGGTCAGTAGTATGTCATATATAGCCCAGCGTACAGAGTGCAGTGGTCAGGTATGAAAAGTGTCTATAGTGCAGGGCTCAGAAGTGTGTATTGCACAGGGCAAAGGGCTCAGGAGGGCATGTCACACAGGGCTCACTAGTGTACGCCAAACAGGTCTAAGAGTGTGTTGCAAAAGGTGCAGGACTCAGGAATAGGTAACACACAGGCCAGTGTACTAACAAAGTACAAAGCTCTCCCCTTAATGATACCTAATGATCTTTGTCCTCTTGTTAGGAGGACCCAGGTCTGTACTGGGCCCAAGACCAGTAGCGCACAGTACAGGGCCAGTGCCAGCGTTCAGTACCAGCACAAATATGAGCCTGCTAACAGGTATAAAGTGCATGCACATACAGTAAAGGTGCCTACAAATACATGCAGAAGTTTTCTGTACCCCACTCTGCCAAAAGGTGGGGCTGTTCTGATCAGAATTCCTGATAGTAAAAAAGTGTACCCACACCAACCCACCTCCCACACATTTCTAAAGGGCAGTAAGAAAGACCAAGGGCCAACAAGAATTAATTGGTTGTAGGAGGGAACAGGTAATCTCTAACCCCACATTCAGAGTGAGGAAATTGAGAGATGCTGCAGGTTACACCATGCAGAATTTATTTTCCTTAAATTACTGTCCTGGAATAATCATCCAGGAACCCAATTTGTTCACAGTTTCACATTATATGTGTAGTAATCATGCTAGGTGTTTCTAGTTACAGTGCTGTTATAGCTTTGGCTTGACCAGATTGTTTTGGATTGTGGATTGGCAGTCAACTTTTGGCAGGGTACAAGCAGGCATGTACGGTAACCACAAGTGGAGAGAGGAAGGCTACACATCCATTTAAGGACCACTATGCACACAAGATCTTTTCATAACATCGCCACTCATCTATTCTACAACTAAAATACACAGGAATCTGGGATTTCACTGATGCAGAACAAAATCAATGATTATTTCAAGAGCCAACACAAAAGTGCTAATAAATACACACAAAGCAACTTTTTACACCAAACCCGACAACCTGCTTCTGAGCAGCTGCACTTTAAGTCATGCAATAAGGATGAAATCTGACAAGAACAGAACATCTAATTAGTGCAAAATATATTTTTATCTGTTCTGAGCATCAGAGCTTTGCCAGACTGTGAGAAGGAAATATTGTTTCCGCTACTCTAAATCCAAAAATCCACAGCAGGGCTGAAAGCCTGGCTCTGTCTCATTCCAAACGATGTAGTAAATTGGAAAAGTGATCTATAACCATTTGTAACAGGCGTACAACTAATTTAAGAGTTGTTGTTTGCAGCGTCCCTCCAGGATGGTATAAAGAAAAACAATTTACGTTCAATTAGGAAAAGGGAACAGAAATCTGAGCATTTTTCGAAATTAAAATTCTGAATGCTAGAAAACTGTGCTAACTTTGTGTAACATATACAAGAAATAATGAGGAAAAAAAAACATAGAGGAAAGAAAAGCATCGGAGTTACACATCGTAACCTAAGTGAAAGTAAAAATTTCGTGCAGAAGAGGAAACAAGTGTTTCAAAGCCAAGGGGGCTTTTATATTCAGATGCAAACTTTGCATATGCCTGCATTTTCTAGAGCTCAATCCTGACTGGTATCACCGTAAAGAAGTTACAAATCTAACATGTTGCATACAACTAATTTAAGAGTTGTTTGCAAAATCCCTCCAAGATAGTATAAAAAAGCACAAGAAAACTGAATTAACTTTGTGCAGCATATACAGGAGATGATAAAATAAAGGGAAAAAAAAATGTTACGCATAGTAATTTATTAAAAAAAAAACTAAAAGCACTCATATGTGTTGGAGAGGAAACCAATTTTTCAAAGGCAAAAGGGCATCTATATCCAGATGTGGACTTTGCATATGCCTGCGGTTTCTATAGTTCAGTCCTGACTGGTGCCACCCTATAGAAGCTGCACAGCCAGTATCTGTTTCAACCAATTTCCAGCTATTAGTCAGACAGTGCAGGTTACAAATAAAAGAATTTAAATAAACACAATCAACAGACAGACAAAATGCCAACAAAAAAACCCCAAAACAGTAATATAAAGGTGCATGTGATTAATAGTTTTAATTTGTCAAAAGTTAGCAAGTAACACATGATAATAAGAGCGCCAAGTGTTATGCTTTAGCGAGTCAACAAGATCACACTGAGGAAAAATAAAAGTAATGGTGTTGTCCACAATACCCAGATGCTTTCTTTCAGTTTGTTTCTTATATAAAAAAAGATTGGCTGCTGTTTACAACACCTTTTTTCCTCCATTTCTCAAAGTTTAATAAATTAAATGTTTGAGTCTATAGTTCAAAGTGTACATTGACAGTCAATAAAAAAGTCTACATATAAAAGTTAGTAATGGAATTGACATGATTAGTGAGTAAATAAAATAGATGTTTAATGGTTAAAATATATTACACTTTATAGGACATAGAAAACAGACTTACCAATACACTTTATTAGACTAAGTCAGCCTTTCTCAACCAGGGTGCCCAGGCACCCTGGGGTGCCTTGAGGTTTCTTCAGGGGTGCCTTGGCAAGATGTCTGAAAATTGCCCAAAACTTGTATACAAGCCAGCGGGTGGAACAAGCCTGCCTTTAGTTACACAAAGGCATAGGTTTTCATTGCGCTCCAGTTTTTACCTTCTTACCGTCAGTGTCCTGACAACCATTGGCATCATCAGATGATAAAGAGGATGTTGGCTGCCTGCACAACATTCTAGTTTGACCCTCTCCTGCCTCTCTCCATCAGTGCTGGGGTCACATTAGCTCATTGATGGAGAAAAACTGAGGGAGAAGGAAACACTGGAATACTAGTCAGTAGCAGTGTGCAAAAGTGTATTTGCTTTGAAAGAGTAAATCACCTCTAATGTTGGGTGTCTTACATGTGTGGATGTTGCTGCATTATATAAACTATTAGAATATTTGTTCACATTTTAGAATGGGGTGCCCTTTTAAAATTATGGACAGTCCCAAGGCACTATTTAAAATTATGGACACTCTTGAAGCACCCCATTCTAAAATGGGGTGCCTCAAGACTGTCCATAATTTTAAAGGGTGATCAAGACTGTCCATAATTAAAAAGGGTGCCTTGATTTAAAAAAGGTTGCGAAACACTGGACTAAGTTAAGGCAAGCCATCAGTGATGACATTTTTTTCCCTGCAACTCCTCAATCTCTTCTGCAGCGCTATTGTGTTCTGCCAGCAGGGAGCCTTCCCTGCGAGCAGAACACAATGATCACTGCTATAGCCCACTGGCAGTAATAGCATGCAAAAACTCAGTCTGGTTGTACTGACGTCAGTTGCTGGATCAACAACATCAGTACAACCAGCCTGCCCATAGATGAATCAAATCCTGGCCGGTCCCTGCTGAAGGGACTGAGATTCAATCCATCTATAGCTGGCTTAAGTGCTTGTTTACACTTGCCACACTCTAAAACTGTCTGTTTTAGCATCTGAGATGGTCTCCATTGCATGACAGTGTTGGAGGCAGTGTCGTGCATTGCTACAACACAAGGCACTGTTTACCTTTCATTTACATAACTTCGATGAATTTTGACAATCTATTCACATCTATATGTAGCAGCAGAGCTGCAGTGCTGTAACGACAGTGATTTCAGGAAAGCTCCGGAAAAAGAAAAATTAAGCATGTCTGCATTTTTAGGTATCACACTGCAACCCACCAGTGATATAGTGTAAAAAGGGCACATGGGAAACAATTACTCTTACAATGGCTAGCATTGATGATCAGGTGCAGAAATGCCAGTGTGATCGCGCGCCTTAAAGGGAACATAGAATGCAACCCTGATCCAAACCTGAAACAAAATCCCACTTCAACCATTTCCAGACCTACTAACAATCTTTTAAGAATGCTTTGTAAAGACTACTTACATTAAAGCTCTCCAAAGTGGTCGATTAGATGGTTAAGGGTCAAAAAGGGGTAAGTAAATGTCTTGGGATCAATAGGAGGTAGATAAAAGATGGAAGGTCAGTTGAGGGTCAATCAATTTTTCAAGACCTCTCTAAAGCTCCAAGTTAGCCCCTAGACCAGAAGGTAAGGTATCTAATAGTGAGAGAATGGTTTCAGAACATCTCAAATCTCACAGAAACACATATTATATCATAATGCCAAAATCATGTACGTCAGGGGACCCCAAACTCTTTCAGTTCATCGACCCATTCATGAAGTTTTAGGTTATCAACCCCCAACATTTATTATATGAAAATTATGTAATAAATACTACATATATATTAGTATTTAATATAAAATATTTGTCTTCTCTCTTTTTCTCTCTCGATATCTGTATCATCCCTG